GGGGGGGGGGGGGTAGGGAAGGTATTTGTTTGAGTAGGTACTTTTCGGAAGTAAAAAGGTGGGTATTTGTGAAAGTATGAAGGTGGTTGGGTAGGTAGGGAAGTTTGAAGCTAGTTGGGTAGGTATGAAAGTTTGAAGACAGATAGTTAGCTATGGAAGTACGTTTGAAGGCAGATAGTAAGTTATGGAAGTAGGAAGGTAGATATTTAGTTACGGAAGTAGGATGGTGCGTAGTTAGTAAATAGTTACGAAAGTAGGAAGTTAGGTGGGAAGGCAGGTGCAGGGTAGTAAAGAAAGTATGAAGGCAGTTAGGATGGTATGAAAGTAGGAAATTAGGTTGGTAGGTTTAAAAGTAGGAAGGTAGGTGTGTAAATATAAAAGTAGGAAGGTAGGTACTAGAAATGAAAGTAGGAAGATAGGGAGCTAGGTGGTTGATATGAAAAAGTAGGTATAGTAGATGGGTTTGAAAATAGGAAAGGTATAGGAAGAAATAAAAATGAAAGTGATTAAAAAGCCTGAAAAATTGCGTGAAAATGTGAGAATATCTGAGAGTATATTTGAAGATTAGAAAATATTTGAAAATATAGATAAAATAGAACATAAACGTGATGATGATGAGATGAGCTGACCTTACGTAACCCTGAGCTAATATTGCAAATATATTCATGTTTCCTTTAAAACTTTTATTTTCATTTTAATTTACAATTGTTTAATCTTTTTCATAATTTGTATGTTCATTGTTCATGTTCTATTTTGATTGTATATTTGTTGACATGTGTTTCCTTTAAAATGGCATACTTCCCTTCTTCTGTAAATATAGGATTATCCAAAAGACTTTAAACTAAACTGACCCCCCCTTTCCTGGGTAGAGAGAGAAGGGGGTGGGGAAGCTGTAGGGGAGGGGAAATGAAGGGTAAAAGAGGGAAATATACCAGGGGAATAGACCTTAATATTAGCGTAGGGAAATACAGGTAATGGAATTCTTCCCTATTATACTGATGTATTGTGCGTGTGTGTGTATTGTGTGTGTTTGTGAATCTAATTAACTAAAAGTAGATTTGTAAACTCATTGTTAGATGGCGCGTGGGAGCACAACGTGTTATCATGTTTCATGCTCGGGAAAGATGACAAGTTGTTATTGTGTTAAACATGTTTAATGTTCATTGGAAGGGACCAGGACTTGATTTTTGGAATATCACCACATAAAGTGATTTTAACGTCAGATTGAATCTTTTTTAATAAAAAAGTCTCAGATAAATGTTATATTATGATTGTATAATTATTTAAACTACTTTAACAGGAGAGCTAGGGGAATTTTACATTACTATGGGTTCCTAAGACCAATTTTGCCTACAATGCATCTAGAGCGAAAGGAGGGATGTTTTCAGGCAAAATTCATACAGGGAGCCCGTGGTTTGCGAGAACTTCGTTCAGCAGTTCGTTATTTTACTTAACTGTCCCTAGGAACGTAAAGTAATTTAACGTCCCTCTGATTGGGGAACCATTGGTCGGTGTTAAAAAGACGGAAAAAGAAATAAAACTACTTACACTCTCCATGCGCACTGGCAACATAAGCAAGGTCATCAGGATGAACGAGGTCATAAATACCGAGGTTAGCGACCTCACCGTCATTAAACCCAAGAACCTCCCGACCTCGGGGGTCAAAGGAGACCATGCCAAGATCAAGCTTGTGCTTGGACTTGAACATGACCTCCTTCTGAGGCATCTCTAGGAGTGAGGGGGGTCCGAAGGGAGTACAGATACAGAAGAGAGCTAGGGGAGGCTCTTCTGTTTTTCTGTTCTGTCCATGAAGGGTTTTAATTCTACCTCTGATATCTAATCTCTGAAAAAAAAACTTTTTAACCAGTCATCATTATTCATTTTGTAGTTTTGCTAATTTGTTTTTAAATAATAAATAATAAATATATATAGCAAATTCAAATATAACCAAAATTCAGTTGTACTCTCTAGAACCAAAAATCAAGAAAGATTTTCTCGATATGGACTTAGAATCCGGATGGATTATCTATAAATTTACCAAGCATCCGGATATATTATCTAGAAATTTACCAAGAATCCGGATGTATTATCTAGAAATTTACCAAGAATCCGGATGTATTATCTAGAAATTTACCAAGAATCCGGATGTATTATCTAGAAATTTACCAAGAATCCGGATGTATTATCTAGAAATTTACCAAGAATCCGGATGTATTATCTAGAAATTTACCAAGAATCCGGATGTATTATCTAGAAATTTACCAAGAATCCGGATGTATTATCTAGAAATTTACCAAGAATCCGGATGTATTATCTAGAAATTTACCAAGAATCCGGATGTATTATCTAGAAATTTACCAAGAATCCGGATGTATTATCTAGAAATTTACCAAGAATCCGGATGTATTATTTAGAAATTTACCAAGAATCCGGATGTATTATCTAGAAATTTACCAAGAATCCGGATGTATTATCTAGAAATTTACCAAGAATCCGGATGTATTATCTAGAAATTTACCAAGAATCCGGATGTATTATCTAGAAATTTACCAAGAATCCGGATGTATTATCTAGAAATTTACCAAGAATCCGGATGTATTATCTAGAAATTTACCAAGAATCCGGATGTATTATCTAGAAATTTACCAAGAATCCGGATGTATTATTTAGAAATTTACGAAAAATCCGGATGTATTATCTAGAAATTTACCAAGAATCCGGATGTATTATCTAGAAATATACCAAGAATCCGGATGTATTATTTAGAAATTTACCAAAAATCCGGATGTATTATTTAGAAATTTACCAAGAATCCGGATGTATTATCTAGAAATTTACCAAGAATCCGGATGTATTATCTAGAAATTTACCAAGAATCCGGATGTATTATCTAGAAGGCAGCGGAAGCGGACGGTAAATGATCTCTCAAGAAGATGGGAGTTTTCAGGCAGAAGAATCTCCTAAAAAAAACTTATTAATTAAAAAAAATTGATCAACCATTTTTCTTTAAAAAGACTGCAATCATATTCGCAAGTTGCAATCATTTTACAACGGTGTTCTTAAAAGCTTTTTCTGATCAATTATAAATTTGATATCAATGTGTTTTTGTTTCTTCAAACTTTTTATTTTCAAATGCGGGTTCTTTGGAAAAGTGACTTGCGCATTCCTTGTTTTTAAGTAGCAATGTAGAAAGTCACAGAAATAAACACTTTTTGAGTCAGGTAAACGACAGTAGATTCCACATTTTTTATCAGAATAAATTTTCAATGGTACCGTTGTTAATTCGGCATTGCCATCCTTGCACGGAGAGTCAGTGAAAAGAACAGTTACAGTCCCTTGAAAGGGGTCGCCTACTTAATTTTAAAAGGAGCCTTCAATTTGATATGTTTCATGCCCGGGGCTATTCTTCAAACCTTGGTCTGAGCAAAAAATTATGAAAGATTCATAAATTTCGAGAAAAAAATGAAATTAGAATTAGAAAATTTGAGTTTGTTGCAAAGACTCAATTCCTTTGACCGTTTCCTTCTATTCACTTTTGTAGGGGAAGGTTATGTTTTGAAGTAAGAAAGCTGGTACCTGTAGGGGAAGGTTATGTTCTGAAGTAAGAAAGCTGGTACCTGCAGGGGAAGGTTATGTTCTGAAGTAAGAAAGCTGGTACCTGCAGGGGAAGGTTATGTTCTGAAGTAAGAAAGCTGGTACCTGCAGGGGAAGGTTATGTTTTGAAGTAAGAAAGCTGGTACCTGGAGGGGAAGGTTATGTTCTGAAGTAAGAAAGCTGGTCCACGAAAGCTGTCTTTGAAGTTCTTCTCTATCCTCACTGTGAACTAGTTCATACACAGACTGATGTACAACATCGGACTAAATAAATATATATTAAAATTTATTAATTCTGTATCCTTGTATCCCTAAATTTCTGTGTCATTTTATTCTTGTATTTATGTATTCCTGTATCCATGTAATCCTGTATCCATGAATCCCTGTATATCCCTGTATCCCTGTATTCATGTATCCATATGTATTCATGTATCCCTGTATCTATGTATCCCTGTTTCCATGTATCCCTGAATCCATGTATCCCTGAATCCATGTATCTCTGTATTTCTGTATCCCTGAATCAATGTCTCCATGTTTCCATGTAATCCTGTATCCATGTATCCCTGAATCCTTATATCCCTGTTTCCATGTATCCTTGAATAACTGTATCCATGTTTCCATGTATCCCTGAATCCATGTATCCCTTGCTTTGGAATGAATTATAAAGGAATGTTCGATGATTTAATTCAAATCTTAAATAAATTTAAAATCTCTTCAAATATTCTTTGTATTTATGTATAAATCTACAGAATGTATATATGTATATTTCTACAGAAATGTATATATGTATACATCTTCAGAAACGTATTTATGTATAAATCTACAGAAATGTATATATGTATATATCTACAGAAATGTATATATGTATATATCTAAAGAAATGTATATATGTATATATCTACAGAAATGTATATATGTATATATATATCTAAAGAAACGTATTAATGTATAAATCTACAGAAATGTATATATGTATAAATCTACAGAAATGGATATATGTATAAATCTACAGAAATGTAGATATGTATATTTCTACAGAAATGTATATATGTATACATCTACAGAAATGTATATATGTATACATCTACAGAAATGTATATATGTATATATCTACAGAAATGTATATATGTATATATCTACAGAAATGTATATATGCATACATCTACAGAAATGTATATACCACAATCAACACAAATCTACACAAATGTATAATGTATATACCACAAAGAGGAAACTCGGGAGTTTCGTTCAACTATACTCTTTTAAAGGAATTGAGTCTTTGCCACAAATTCTGATTTTCTATAGTCTTTATAATATTAAGTTTGAAGTGTAAAAGGTTTACACCATCAAGTTGCAAAAATATAGACATTAGATTTTTGATTTTTTGACAAAGACTAAGTTCCTCTCCGGGTATAAATGTTCTAACAATATTACCTGATGAAACCCCAGATATGTTTCTATAGAGTGTGTTGCGAAAAATAATTCACCATTGCAGTCCAATATCATTAGGAACCCGTTCAAAGCCTAGATATTAAGATTATTTTATTATTATTATTATTTGAAAAGCTGTAAAAGTTGAAAATAATCGTTAACTTAAAATAGCAATATTTAGTGATTTTTTGTTTTGTTTGCACCCTGGGGGTGTACTGCAATGATTTGCAGTACACTGACCAAAGAATAGTAAAGTTTAGAGTAGAGAATGTGTACCTTGAAAGAAAGCTTTGGTTCTAAGATAAGCAACAGATAATCTGAGAATGGATATTTTATCAAGTTTATTTACTATTCCCCCGTCAAATGGAAGTATGGAAGCAAGGTGGTCCAATTCTCCGTTAAACCTCTGTCTAATTACCAAACCAAATAAAATTATGAAAAATCCGCGAAAATGCAAAAAAATGGCCGCCATTAAAGAAAATGACGCGGCCATGTTGTGAAAGGGAAGGCGGGGGATTGAGACCACCAAGCTTGTTAAAGTATTGAATAAATCTTCACCTTGATACAAATAAGATTTAGTTCGAAGAAAAGCCACGGAAAGACGTAGAATAGAAAGACGATCTAATTTTGACAGAATAGATTGGGAAAAGGGAAGTATCGAAGCAAGGTGATCTAACTCCCCGTTAAGTCTCTCCCTTTCACAACATCAAATATGAAATTCGGAAGTTGCATTTCAAACTTTGATGTCTAACCAGCAGAAGAAGAAAATACGACAAGCCGGTAATTTCTTTAATAAAAAGGGCGGAGGATGAATGAATAGATGAATGCTAGGTTGAAGGGGAGAGAATCGTTTAATGTGGAACAGTACCCTCTGATGTTTCATAATATAAGACTGACAGCAGCTAGAAGCTTCAAATTAATTTTCTAATCAAAAATATTTAGAATTGCAATCTTTTTGCTGGGAAAGCAATGAGGAGAAACGAGCTTGGTATATGACAGGCCCCCCCGGGACAAAGAAATTGAATTTTTTATTTAAACTTAATTTAAAATAAATTCATGTTGGAGAATAAATTGCAAATTGAAAAAATCTTGATTTTTGGGAAACGATAAGAGTGGAATTGGTTGATGGAGTTGTATCATTAGACAGATTTTATCATTTTTTAACAAACAAAATTTGTACCGCAACACGCCCTTTTTATTCTTTTAAGTTGCTGGTTTTCATTTTCTTCTTGTTCAGGAGAGTTTTTTTATCTATTAAAGAGAAATTTTACGTTTTTAAAGGCACATGCAAGCAAAAAATCCTCCAACAAATCCTGAATAAATGTATAATTTCTCATATTTGGTAATTTCCTGTGTCGTTTGCAAGGGGTGACTTTAGCCTCGGAATCAGGATCTTTCTTCTGAGGACTCTTGTTTATGCTGAAAAAAAAATATTTTTTTTATTTTTTATTTTATTTTTTTGCTGTTGTAAAAGTTGTCGAATAATTTGTCATGTTGCCGAATATATATTGTCAAATTTCTGAAATATGTGTCTTATTTTAAATTGTCGTGTTGCCGAATATATTGTCATGTTGCCGAAAATATGTTGCTGAGTATATTGTCTAATTTCTTAAATAATTCTTATTTAATTTTCGATTTTTTAAAGATTAATTTAGGTTAGAATTACTGGCTTGAGTTAACATGTGCTTCGGGATATTTATGAAGCATATAAGCATATGTTTATAGATAGATAGATAGATAGATAGATAGATAGATAGATAGATAGATAGATAGATAGATAGATAGATAGATAGATAGATAGATAGATAGATAGATAGATAGATAGATAGATAAAATTTTATCTGCTACTAATGGTTTATGTAAGTGTACCCACTAAGGGTACACCTGTTTACAAACATCTCTGCTTATAACAAGGAGTAGATTAATCATCAACTTCTAATTAATTAAATAATTAATCAATCAATGAATTATAGAATTAATGACATAAACTCACCTTTCAGTTCATCATTTTGGTTCCTGATGATGGTACTCAAGATTGCAATAAACAAAATTCTTTAAATAAATTCCTTTGTTTACTTTAAAAAGATGTAAATAAGAAAAGTAGATGGAAAATATTGTTCTGTTAATTCTGCATTCTAACAGACTTGACGTGTGTCTAATCTCTATGATTCTGACAATGGATGTCTGCTCTATTTTTCTTTATGATTCTGACAACGTATGTCTGCTCTAGTTTTCCTTTCAATCTGACAACGGATAAATGCTCTATTTTCCTCTATGATTCTGACAATAAATATCTACTCTATTTTCTCTATGATTCTGACAATGAATGTCTGCTCTATTTTCTCTAATATTTGCTCTATTTTCTTTATGATTCTGACGATGAATATTTACTCTATTTTCTCTAATATCTGCTCTATTGTCTCTATGATTCTGACAATAAATATCAACTCAATTTTCTCTATGATTCTGACAATGAATGTCTGCTCTATTTTCTCTATGATTCTGACAATGGTTCCTTGACCTTCTCTATATATAGTTTCGTGTTTAGTGACGCATTTCTGCTAAACGTTCCTGCTCCTGACGCTTTCCTAATGTAGCCTAGTCACAAAATATACGTCTAGGGTACGCAGAAGTGCATAAAGATATCACGCAATTAACTATATTTATCAGTATAGATAGTCACACAAACTCAACCAACAATGATTAAAGGGAAAGTTTACGATACAGTGAGAACCAAAAAAAAACTCTGGAATAGGAAAACGACTTTAAGACTCATTGTATGACTTTAAATAGTTCAATGAACATGAGTCACAACAACTGTGCAGTAGAAACAGACCCGTCTCACTAAATAAGTTGTTTGTGAAGCCACTGGTAAAACTATTTGCTTTAAAACAAACTTTACTTTAATACTTCACTTATTTTTCCATCGTTTTCTAATCACCCTGTATTTAATCGGGTTTTATAAATTCGGATAAATTTCTGTACTCGCCGTCTACAAACTTACTACTTAGAGACAAAGGCGTTGGTTGATTTTTACTTTTGATAATAATTAAATGGGAGAAAATGTTAATTGCCCATGACGAGACCAGGCTAGACGAGTTGTCAGGCTTTTTAAACAATCAGCTTCCCAGAACATTAGATAGATAGATAGATAGATAGATAGATAGATAGATAGATAGATAGATAGATAGATAGATAGATAGATAGATAGATAGATAGATAGATAGATAGATAGATAGATAGATAGATAGATAGATAGATAGATAGATAGATAGATAGATAGATAGATTAAATATAGATACATAAAATGATAGAAAATTAAAAACCATTATTAACATTTAATTTATTGGATGAAATACTAAAATGTGAAATGAGATAATTTGCTGAATAGATTAACTGGAAATGATGATTTTAAAATGATATAAAATATTAACAATGAGAGAGGAGGGTCCAAACCTGGAGAATCAATAGGAATTAAATATTAATCAACTTTCTTTCTATCGCCTGTCTGTCTAATGCTGCTTTCTTTTTTAATTTTTTTCTATCTTCAACCATGCACTTCTCTTATTTACTTCAATATTATTCGTTTTTTTCCATGCACTTTTTATTTTAAAACTTTTTTCATTATTATCATTATTCTTTATATTTTGCTTACTTTATCTCATAAACCAAATTTTTTAATCAAATATTTTATTCTAATCTGCGACCAACTGTGGGTCAGTTCAACTGTTTCACATTTATTCTACGCAAGACAGGCATATAAGTATAATTGTGTCTACGTTTCTGCAAACATACAAGTGGGTTCATTTTCTATTTTTCTAAAGTAATA